AACCAGGTTGGAAAACACTAAATTAATATATTCGATGACCTTACAATCAAAAATGAAATATTATCGCGTGAATGACTAAAGATAAATATTCCACAACATAACGACCACAACAACATAATGAAAACTAAATAAAATAACTTACCATAGCAATTGATTGAGACCACTACTGAAGGCGAACAGCACGAGCACGTACAAGAAAAAGAACTTCATGATATCCATCACCATCCGAGACAGCGACACTTGCAGAGGTCCCAGATGAGGGTTTACCGAAAATATGTGCACAAGCTTCAATGAACTAAAATATAAGGAAAAGAAATCAATTATTACTTAATACACATGCAAAAATATAATAATACAATTAACAAATTTAACTACAAGTTGGTCTTCACAAAGTTGATTATTGCAGTCCGAATTTAGTGAGCATAAATATGTTTAAAATTTAATTTAATATTTAAAAATCAGGATTCCATTTCATTTATTTTTTCCAAATATTTTGATCAAAGCAATTCAAATCGCATTATGTAATCAATAATGAATTACTGTTTGCAAGTAACTAACTAGGTCATTTACAGGTTCGCCATATGTTGCTGTTGGTCAGATGAGTATTTTGCTTCTATTTCTTGTTTGCGATTCAGAACAACATTGTGAATCCACATGGTCAATGAATAATAGGATGGTTGATTTTAATTATTCATATTTGATTAAACCCTTTATTTTACATCAAAAACAGGGATATAAATATAATAGTATTTATTTGAAGTTAATTATAATTTGTAAAATATAGTAATCGATAAAATTACAAATAGTTGATAGATATGAAATAAGGATTAAACAAATATTAACGAGAAATGAGAATTAATAAAATAGGGCAAAATAAAGCGATATATTAATACTTTGTATTTGTCCTTATAAAAGGGTAGAGCAGGGCATAAAGATTCGTGGGTAAAACATACCACCATCAATATCTCGAAAACAAGTAAAGTGAAATATTTTTTAACAACAATATTAGAAAGTAGAGGAAAAAAGATGTATGAATATGATGTATCAAATAATATTAAAGATGTATTAAATAACGCAGATATAATTTAAAAAAAATCCCTTCAAAAATAAAATTAAGACATTGGACTGTTTGCCCCCTGGGCGTACCATTTTACTTCGCCCATGGTGCAAAAAGTATTAAGGTGACATTTTTTTTAAAAAATGGTAAAAAACACATTTCCACAATGATAAATCAGTTGCTAGTTTACTAAACATAGTCTGAGAATTGCTTGGTTAATATGTGTTTTTTTTGTGGTGTAATTGGTTTGGTTTTCATAATAGATTTGCTCAAATCTAATTTGACCCCTACCAACTCTATTTTGGAAAAGTATATACATATACACATATATCATGTTTATCTTTTATATAATTATATATGAACAAATTTCTAATATTGAAATGTCTTGTTATTTTGCAATTGTATTTGACGATATTTATAATATTTCTATATTATTTATATAATGACTTTTGTATCATGTCTATAATTGTAGCTGAATGTACTTATTGTATAGTTTGTTATGAAAAATAAAAAAGTATAAATCAATAAACATGATACAAAAATCAAATACAAAACAAAAATTGTTAATATTAAACAATTTTCTAACTTTCTTCCAAGTGTTTCAAGTAGGTACATAAAGTGCACATACTGCCTGTAAGCAATTTAAGAAACGCGAGATGTTTTGTGTTATCTGGTTACGTCAATTAACTCTTCCTCAAAGCTCGGTAATTCGAACTTCTAGCCATTCAATTCAGCTTCAGAAAAACGAGAGAAATACAATTACAATTAACGTTAAAGCTCGTTCTGTAATGTACTTGCTTGTCTAATTAGCAAAGTCTTTGAAATATAAATAATAGTTTTTTTTTCTACCAGACACAAACAGGAAAACAGAGAACTTTAAAGAAGCTAAGGATAAATGAGATCGATATTATTCTAAAATTTCAAAGGTAAAATTAGTGAGTTAGTAGTGAATCTACTAATTAGACGTGAGTAGTTATTACTATTTCTTTCCGTTGAAAATATTAAAGTATCATCAAAAAAATTAGATTCACAAGATGCTGTGAAACTATTCCATCCATGGTTGAAATTAAAGTAGCACTAATCGGCTTTATAAATCAGTCTAACCAAAAAAATATATACTAATCTTTCTACAAGAAGCTGAGTTTGTTAAAAAAGTATATAAATAATATTCTAGATTTTATTTGGAGCTGCTTATTATTTTTTCAATTAATAATTATATAATATCTATATGTGACGTAAAATATCTAAAATTAGCAGAAACGCAGAATAATTTAATTAAGTGTCATTCCTGGAAATCAACGTAACCAATTAATCGGATGCTCGCACACCATGAAAAAGATCTCTGAAATTCTGAAACTTTATGATATATTTGTACATATATATTATAAAAATGTATAAATAACTAGTTGTTATTGGTGTTTTGCCTTGAGGCAAGTTACATGAACTTTTCGATATGTGTAAATAATCGACTTAATCAATAAAAAATAAATTAATTTATGAGTGATTGAAAGTATTCCGAGTGGGTTTATTACACATAATTGAAAATGAACGAATACGTTAACTCGGAGTATTTTCTAAAAGCAAATTTTGAAAAATCAATAATTTTTATAATTGAACCAGTTTCACTTTAATGATTTATTGTGTTCATCAAGACCAAGTACTCTAATTTCATTAAGACCAAGCAAATAGTCTAATTTTAATTTTAACAAACGTCAATTAAACCATTCATTTACTCAAACTTTGATGAATTTTTAAAACTACATGTCGTAAGACCGTAATATTTCAGTAAGCTCTATTAGACCATGATATATATCGCCAAAAAAGTTCCATGAAAATTGGCTTAATTTTTTTTCAACAGTTAATTACAAGAAAATGGCTCGGTAGATTTTCACCTTAAACTAATCAATATCATTCCCAACTAATATTTTTCGAACAGTTTTTGATTTTTTAAAATCGATTCGGTAGTATGAGCCTAAATATAGACGAAAAGTAGCACTTTTTTTAAAATTACAAAGAAATGATTCGGCCGATCGCAGCGCAAAACTGACAAACGATAATCCTCATCGAGATACATCGAATGGCTATTAAATTTTTGTAATCGGTCCAGCCGGTTTTGAGAAAACGTCGTTTTACAGTAAAAAATCTACCGAGCCGTGTATGTGTGTATGTTCACACACACATATTTTTTCCAAATTCGGTCTCATTCGATTCAGAATGGCTTGAAACATCGAGAAAACATAAATTTCAGTGCATATTCAGAAATTAATTAAAGATGTACAGTAAGTTAAATATTATAGCAGTAATATTATATTATGAACACAAGTTGTTACTAATTTTGCGCAGGTATATATAATGTTAGTTAATCTTCGTAAGTTTACAAACTATGAAGCAATCTGAAACTGTACAAACTAATGCAATAATATCATAGAAAACTATTTCATTTTATTATCCGATATAAATTCATACATTTATTCATACAAATCATCTTTGCACGGTGCAACGAAATGCCATTAAAACTCTGCGTATGCAAATACCAAATGGAATCCCAAATTTGTATAGAATTCATTGGAGTGGTTTGACAAATGTCAAACTATTCCACATTTGCATTTGCGGAAGTGCAACATATCGCATTCGAAAATCTATAAAATATTATATTGTGAACACATTGATTTGTTGTCGATTTAGTCGATTTTATTCACAGGAGAAAACGCTTTGGAATCCTTTTCGAATGGATAAAGATATAGAACATCAGAAATAGAACGTGCATAGGATATCACCAGTAACATGAGCAACCTGTGTAACAAAATGAATATAACCGTTCCTTATATAACGTTTCTTCGAGAAATATATGCAATTTTGAAGATCGTGATATCAAAGAGATGCGTTTGCAATTGTTGTAAAAGTTTTATACGTGAATACAATGGCATCAATTTTATTTCCTAGGTATTCGAAGCAATAAAATGATAGAAAATACTTTTAAATCCAAGCACGTATTTGATCTTATAATTTAATATAGTTTAAAATTTCCTGATATATCAAATATTTATCAAATATGGCATATTCGATCATTGAGAGATAGAGATTGTTCTCTAAATTAGATTCCAAGTGCATTTGTTATAAAGCAATAAAATATTCTTTGAAGAGCAATGTATCCTTGAAATATAAGCATAATATTTTGTCATATTTTGAAAATATTTCCAAGAATATTGCACTACACTATATTAAAATTTATTCAAAAAAAATAAAAAATAGCACATTTTTTAGCACAGAAAACAGTAAGAGAGATTGGATACAGCTAAACTATACTGCTTTTGAGATAGAGTCCAAATAAAAAGAATAAAGATAATGTATGTTTGTTCGAACAAGTTTCCTCTACGATTCCAAGTGCATTTGTTAAAAACCAAACAAATATTTGTGGGAGTAGTAATGATTATGACTATATATAAAATTAGAAACTCCCAACATAATAAAAAAATATAAATTTATTAACTGTAAAAATATTTGATATCAAAAAAATATCATGACATGTCCCATTGTTTTTTATAAATCAAAACCAGCCTGCTTGATATCGCCACACACTCCCTGCCCAGTGTTGATCTCACAGTTTAAAAAAAAATACAGGAAAACACGTTATAAAAATGTGGTGGGAAAGCAGATTATAGCAGACCAGTGTTGTAATACTGGTCAATTACAAATTTCCATGTTTCGTCAGCAGATCCACCGTATGTGGTGATTTGACCTGCCATCAACTCCATATTCTGCATAATGTTCTCGATCTAATGGGTATTAGTTATATCAGAATAACTTAATGTTTAGAATGCATAATTTATGGGTACAGTTTCCATTTCTGCAAGCGTTGCATTCGTATCTGATGAGTTCCGATCAGAGAAAGAAGTTGGCTCTTTATCCAAATCAGGATCATTGGTTTCTTTGACATAAGAGTCCAGAATTGTGGAATCCAATAAATTATGTCAAATTTTGTTTTGATCCGTCGTTGTCACCAATAATGGGAGGTAGCATTATAAGACGATTTGTTGAGTTAACAGAGAAAGAGAGGTTGAATTGCATTTCAATGAAAAGTTCAGGCTCCAAATTATTTTTTCTGTCAGCAATAAACACTGAGGTCTGGGTATACCAAATGAGTAACCTCGGAGGTCTGATCCAGATAGTAAGTGCGTTAACTATGATGGATTGGACTGGACATACCTTATAGGTCGTCACTGAAGACCAGTGATTAT